TGGGGGGGCTGGGGGGGGTGGGGGGAGCCGTGCCAGGTGCAGGGTCTGCTGGCTGGGTGCTGGCAGGCTTGTACCTGGCACGGGCATCGTAGCCAGCCCGTGTCCCTTTAAGTAGTCCGGGGCCAGGAGGGGGGCAATAGAGTTTCCCTGGTGTTGGCCAGAGTGGCCACCAGGGCAAGCTGGGGAGGGCTAGCCTCCCACTAGTTCGAATTAAGGGGCTACACACCCCTTAATTCGAACTAGTAAGTTCGAACTAGGCTTAATCCTCGTAAAATGAGGTTTTCCTAGTTCAAACTAAGCGCTCCGCTAGTTCGAATTAAGTTCGAACTAACGGAGCGCTAGTGTAGCGCCTATCAAAGTTAACTTTGTAGTGTAGACATACCCTCAGAGATTTGTGTGTTTTTCTGTGTGTCTGTCTGTGAGTCTGTTTAAGAACTCCAAAACAGTGAGAGCTAGGACCACCACATATTGTATGCAGCTTCTTCTCGTCTCTTAAAGCAAGGTCAGAGATTGGTTGTGCCAGGAAAACCAGAAAAGGAACTGTTTTCCATAACATGGAAAGGGAAATGCTGTTCAAAGGGAGGCAATATTGAGAGTGCCCACTGAGGGCAATGAGCCCGCAGGGTAGGCCTATCTGCAGAGGGTCCACTGAGGATAGCCATACCACCAAGGGAATAGCCAGCAAGGCTAGAGTTCCACCATCTTGCCTGCCAGCACACCGAGTAAGTAGTAAGTACCCTTTCCCTAATCCTTGCCACCCCCCACCTCCCCGCCTCTTGACCACAGCACTGAAGAGGGGGAGAAAAAAAGGCCCTGGCAGCTGGGGGAGGGAGTCTAGGGGGAGAGAAAGGCTTGTGCTGGACAGGACTTCCCACCCTGAGCCCCTTCTCACCCCCCCAACCCTCACTGTCACACACACACCCCACATCCTCAAGGTCCAGCCCTGATTCCTGAACCTCCCACACCACCAGCTCCCTGCCCTCTAGGCCCTGGCCAATGGCAGGTAAGTGTTCTAGTATACAAATAATTAGAACTGATGTAAATTGTCACTGATATTTTCCAGTGACATGAGGATCTGAGAGAGTCCAGCATGTCCATCTCGATGAGACTGCATTAACTTACTAGGAAATGGTGTGGCTTTTGGCAGCTCAGGAAAGGAGATGTCAGATGCAATCATAACAGACTAAGAATTTTTCAGCCCTTCTGAACAATGATTTTTTACAAAACTCATTGGACACAGAAGCAAACATCAGTTATAGACTGTGTCTTAACAAATGGATGGCAATAACCTTAAAATTAGCGCATACAGTGAAAAGTGGTGCCATTTTTATTTTGGTCATTAGTCATGGTGAAATGCTAAAAGGAAGTGGTTATTATGACGCATGGATTCTCAGATTCTTCACATCAATACCCACAATAGCTGTCCTCAGACATGTCCCCAAATCATTTGCACTGGTTCCCACAATGCTTCAAAGAAAACACCAGCCCTGTGGTAATTCATAAGCGACACTGGGAATTGGTGCAGTGGTGTATGGGGGGGCAGCTCTGCCATCTGAGAAAGTGGTTGAGTAAATTTCAAAGTGGTTGAGTGATTATGCTTCAGCAAAAAGGCTAGAGACAGAAAATTAGAGCAGACTTGTGTCGCCCTGGCCCCCCCAGAGGGAAGGCGACCTCCCGAATCTCAGAACCACTAATGAAGTGTTTGTTAAGGGAAGGGCAAAGACAGCGAACCAGGAAAGAGACAGAAATACCCTGTCTCAGTTGTGCTGTTTTGGAGAGATTCCTCAACACCACAGGACAATTTCATTTAAGGCTAGATCCTCAGCTCAGATCAATCAGCTTGCTTCTACTGAAGTCAATGGAGCTACACCGATGATGCCAGTTGAGGACCTGGCCCATATCCTTTTGTTAAGAAACTACTACACAAGCATATTTCTATCCCTTTGTAAGCCAGACTTACAACCAGAAATTAAAAGCCTTCAGGATTGAACAGTTTTTGGTTCTATTACAGTTAATGGGAGTTTTACTATGGACTTCAATAGAGCCAGATTTTAACCATTAAGTTTGCTATATGTGCAGATTCATATATAGTCTATGATTTTTGTTCCTCGCTGTTCCTGCCTTTCTCACTGTTGTGATGGTCATAAACAATGGTTCAAACCTACAGTTTTGGTGCTTTGGTGACACACCGCTTGTTAAACGTTTGTGTCGATGGTGCTGGTGAGTAAATCTTCCAATCCAGCCGCATTTACTGTGACTGGTTTTCAGGACCAGCCCACAACATTTTGGCACCTGAGGCGGGGATCTTGACGCCCTCATGCCCCCTCGCTTGGGCCAAAACTTTGAGAGGTCTTAATTCTGCCTTTTTCCTGTTCTACTCTTCTCATGGTACTGCTCTGCTACCTACATATGCACCAGCAGCAGACACAATTTTCTATACTCTGGTTCCTATTGGTACCCCTCCACGGTCTGTTCCTATTGGCACCCTCCACCTCAGTTCGCCTCATGGTAAGGCCAGCCCTGCTGGTTTTGGTATTCCACTGATACCTTCCATAGATGCTGCACCATTTATTTCTGAAGTGAAACCTGGGACTTGAGACAAACCTTCCATTTGGCAGCTTTCTTGGAAAGGTTATTGAGCCATGGATGCTTGAGACTCTGAGCAGCACTTCATCTTCCTCTAGAAACAGGGAGACAACATTATTGGAAGAGTTAGTTGAGCTCCATTACTTCCTACCTGCACTCAGGCCCGGCCTTTGGGCAAGGTGAACGAGGCGATCACCTTGGGCCCTGCGCATTCAGGGCCCCGCAGCTTCGTGCATTCAGGGCCCAGTGCTGCCCATCTCCCGGTCCCACCCGTGGGACCGGGAGCCACGTGGCTGTACAGCTCAGTGTGCTGCCTTGGGCCCCGCACACTCTTTGTCTGGGCCTGCCTGCACTGAATATAATAGCAAAACACTGTGACACCAGTTTATTTAATACTTTTTAAACAAGTTCAAGTTTGCACAGGGAAACCATAGATGGGAGGTCAGAGAGGAGGAAATCTCTGTGAGGCTCTCTACATGGGAGTGGGGTTTCCTCACCATGAAAGGGGCAGTAGGCTCCAGCCATTCATGAAGAGGACCATGCTTCATGCAGCTCTAGGCCATGACAGACTCCTTCCCCATATCAATAGGCTGAAGCTATGTCAATAGGTGGGGGACTGACCCTGATATGTCTCTACAGGAGTACCTAAAAGTGTAAGGTAAGGTTCTTAGTTTTGGCTCTCCCTCTGTCCCTTCATATTTACTTTAAAATTTGGTTTTCCGTCAGAGTATGTTGGGCACTTCCCAGTGCATCTGTGTATATTTCTAAGTATCCTAGTTAGCTCAGGCATTACTGAGACTGCACATTTGTGTCTAGAGTAGCTCAGAAAACTTCCATGCAAAGAAAAAAAATTAGAAAGAAAATGTTTGTGAATTTCTTCCCTTTTCTGACCAGTTCTAGTTGTCACAAGGGAAACTTCAGCAGCAGAGAAAGAACTCCTGCTTTAAAAACACAGGGCTCTGCCAATTGAGCTTAAGAAAGAGACCCATGGCCTACTAATGACAGTTCTGATTTTGAGCAGGTTTGATTCCATCCAATAGAAGGCAGTACTGGCATCTATCACTACACTCAGTATGTGACGGTATTTTTTTTTTAATTTTCATTTTTATGTTATGTTTTCTTTGCTCTTATACTGGCTTTTGTTTTGATAAGCCCGAAGCAAGGTAGAACAAAGATGTATTGTGCTCTAAATGCTACACAAATTTAGGAATACATTTAAAAGGCTCATATTTTCGACTCCTAAATGCATGGCAGCCTCTGATAGCCTCTTCCGAGGCTTTTCTGTTTGGAATTATGAAGCCACATGGCTCAGCCTCACCCAATGATGAGACAGTCAACAGCATTTAATTTACAAAATGTAATGACGGGTTAAAAGTGAGCAATAATCAAAAACTAATTTAAATCAGATGACCCTGCCTCAGCCAAATGGAATGTTTTGAGCAAAGTAAAAGCTACTGAAATTAGCACTGAGCTGATTAGCCCTAAACACACTGAAATTGGAGACGGTATGATGGTCCCCAGAAGGCTGTTTAAGTGAACTGATGGGTGTTGGCAGGAATTCCAGATTCTGTTAAGAGCCACAAAGGTGTCAGGAGGGCAAGGGCAGTCCCTGCAGCTGGGGTTGGGTGAGGCAGGCCTCTGGCCCTGCTTACAGCCCTACCCACTTCGCTGAGGCCGCACCACCGCCATGGGGAGCACTGGCGAGGGAAGAGGCTATGCAGGCCCAAGCCTCCCCGGCCCCTGGAGCACAGGAGGGAGGAAGCCGCGCAGCCCAATCCTCCGTGGCCCTGGAGCACAGGTAGGACATGTGGCACACATCCCCAGATTCGTCAGCCTGGAGCAGCAGGGAGGAGAGGCACTGACGGCAGCAAAACTCTGCCCCCAGAATGCTTACTACAGTAGGCATTCTAGAGGCAGAGTGTAGGCGGGACCATGCCTGGTGGTTTGGGAAGACAGAGCTGGACACCCATTTAGGAGGGCAAGAGTGGGCTTAAACTTTAAAAAGATTTCATGGAGGATCCAAAGTGAACCTGAAGGGATTTTAAATGCACAACCTGGCCATATTTGTGTGGAAACTGAAAAAATTTTGCAAACTTTGCACAACCGATGTTTAATGTTTTGCTGTAAACAATTCATTATTTTGCTAACAAATGGTCCCTCAACAACATACAATAACCAGCAGTATGTGTTTTCCTTCACGCAGACACAGAAGAGCCAGTGAACACAGAGAAACATGCCAGTTTTAAAAATAAAGAAAAGCAAACAAATATATAAATGACACATGATTTAGTAGCAGCACAGACTCAAGTACAGAATAAGAGAATCTCAGTCAAACAGCGAAGTAACAATCAAAAAAGCACTAGCAGATCTGTGAAGGATAAGACTATTGAAAAATGGAGACCTGATTGGGTAGTCTGCAAAGGAGTTTGCGGTCTGATAACCAAGGATGTTTTAAGGCTGCAGTTGCACTCATTCTCCAGCTAAAGAAAAAAACAGAACATAGGTAATCAATACATATAAGACCTTGGGATTCCACAATTACACCCTCACTGTCCACCCTTTTTATACTTTATGATGCTCAGGTTTGCAAGATGCTTTGTGCCAGATGGCAGCTGAACAATGACACCTGGAAGTATTAACCCCCTGTGAAAATGAATTCATGTAATTTTAGGACACTATGGAATTGAACAATACTCTACCTATGCATAGTGAAGTCACAAAGGATACTGTAATAATCAAGTATCACAGTACAAGTGACAGCACATTTTTTATATTTTATAATGTGAGGACATCAAATGCACATTTCAAAGGTCTGGAATTAAGAGACTCTGAATACCTTTTTTCCTTGATTAGAAGCTTTGAGAGGAAGTCTTTGGCTTCTTCAGAAACATCTTGAAATTCCTCATTTTCTAAATCCCAGCTGCAAGCCAAGATATTGTTGAGAGTCTCATTGTCATCGTCACCCAGAAAAGGAGACAATCCACTGAGTCTAAAGGAAATTAAATAGCATATGAAAAATACAGAATCATAGACATATATGGTTTGAAGGGATCTCACGGACAGATGTTTGTCTAAACTGCTCTTAAAAACCACCAATTGCTAGGGATTCTGCAACCTCTTTGTCAACCCTGGCACTCCGGCTGGGAAGCAGGAGCCGGGCACAAGGGGTTGCCCTGCTCCCCAGCTGGAACACTGAATGAGCGCATCAGGTCGAGGCATGAGAACGCTTATTTTATCAGGGCCCCCAATTGACAGGAATTCTAGGCACAGCCCTCTTGGCCCAGTGGCTACTCCTCCCTGCAAGAAGAGTACAGATGTTCCTGAAGGCCTGTGGGCCTGCTTAACTATTACGATACCCCACATCTTCACTACTAGGGTATGTCTAGACCACATGGCTCTGTCGACAGAGCCATGAAAAATAGTTTATTCGGCATAGTCAAAGAAGCGGGGATTTAAATAATCCCTGCTTCATTAAAATAAAAATGGCCGCCGTGCTGTGCCGACAATCAGTTGATCTGGCACAGTGCGGCAGTCTTCACGAGGCATACTAGAGTGATCGACAAAGGCTTCCCTTGTTGACTACGCCAGGTCTAGACTGCTGCGCTGTGCCGGATCAGCTGATCGTCGGCACAGCACGGCGGCCATTTTTATTTTAATGTAGCGGGGATTATTTAAATCCCTGCTTCTTTGACTCTGCCGAATAAACTATTTTACATGGCTCCGTTGATAAAGCCATGTAATCTAGATGTAGCCCCAGTGTCTACTCATCTGAACGGCCATTGTTTACGCTAATTCTTCCGTGATTCCGCCTTTCTACTCTTGATTTGTGCTATTCTTTATGGGATTGTTTCATTGATCATAGTTGTACGCCTGTCTTTTCACAGTACATTTTTGTCCTGATCTTGACAACTGATGAGCACTTTTAGAAATCAATGGAAATGCGAGGCACTCAGCAATTCCCAGGATTAGGCCTTAAATCATTACAACGTTATTGGCATTGAATAAAACAAGTGCCCCAAAAATGATCATGCACATTTGGAGAGTGAAATATCACTCTGTGATCTGCACAGAAGTTCTTTTCTCTAGATTGTGGAATCCTGTGCATATTCTGCACTCATTTAGCATGCAGAATTCCTACTGAGGTCAGTGGAAAGTGCATGCACAGAATGGGAAAATAAATGTTCACTGTACCAGGAGAGAACTGATGTCAGCGGGAGTTTTCCCCAGATAGAAGTGAGAAGGACAAACAAATTTGCAACCCAGATACAGCTTTTGTCAATATTCCAGTTTAATAACAAATTTCAGAAAGTTGATATAAAGTATTACACAGCACAGATTACAAGTCCTACTTACAGCATGTAGGCAATGACTCCTACGCTCCACATGTCAGTGGGAAAAGAGACAAAGTCATAGTTCACCACTTCAGGAGCAAGGAATTCCGGAGTGCCAAAGTTCACTTTAAGTTTTTCTCTGGGTTTATATCTAGAAGATGGAAAGAGGGATAGCCAATACCCATTTAACATCCAATACAACTTCTAACTCTGGTGCTTAACAGTTGCAAGATTCAAAAAAGAATTGGGTTTCTTATAGGGAAAACAAGAACAGAAGTAGAACAGGAAGGACTAAAATAAGTTTTTATAAGAGATATAAATAGTCATGCTTCTGGGTATAAGACAATTTCGACGTAATAGGATTAGAAAGAAATAGATTCATAGGGAATGCCTACATTGCACCCTTTCTTCAGAGACATGCAGAGTGCAATGCACATGCAGTCCCCCAAGTACAGGTAAGTAAGGCATGGCTTAGGCATAAAGATGAATTATGAATTTGTGAAACCCTGACCGAGAGCAAGTGGGGGCCTCTCCTCACCCTTTCTGCCTGCAATTCCCTGCCAACCCTGGCGCTCCTGCTGGAAAGTGGGAGCGGGGCACAAGGGCTTGCTCTACTCCCCAATAGGAATACTCCTGAGTGAGCACATCAAGTCGGGGAATGGGAGTGGCCAGTTTTCCAGGGCCCCCAATTGACCAGAGATTCTAGGCAAAGCCCCTTCGTCTCAGTGGCTACTCCGCCCCTGCTCAGGCAAGTAGAATATGGATGTTCCTGGAGGTTTCTGGGTATGTATCACACGAGTCGTGCCTCCCTCCCTCTTGCCCCTCCTATTTTTAGCTGGGTAGTATCCTGATGCTGGAGCCCTCCCCTGCTGGAGGAAAGGTTCTGGGCACAGGGATAGTCCTTGTCAGAACCTTTCTTCACTGCAGTGAATGGCTCCAGCAGTGGGAAGCGCCACTCCCATGCCAGAGCCTTTCACTGACACGTGTAGCTATGCACCACAGTAGCTCAGCTATATGTACATTACACACATCACCAGTGGTGTTTAATGTAGATGCAGCCATAAGGGCCATTATGCTAGTACAGTCTGACTTTCTGCACATGACAGGTCAGAGTATTTCTACCACTAGCACCTGCATCAAGCTCATGATGAGTATGAGCTTGTCTGGAGCTTAAGTTAGAACATGTCTCTTAGAAAGGCATCCAGTCTTAATATAAACACATCAGGGTATTCCATAATTGCATGCTGCAGGTTTCTTGCACTTTTCTTTCTAGTACTGGAGATGGTTTTGGAGACTAGATAGACCATTGGTCTGGTCTATTATGGCTAACCTGCTTTAGAGACTCCAGCTGAAAATAGGTTTTAAATGAACATTTCTTACTCTACGTTCTTGTGTGACTATACCTTACAGTTATCAAGTGTTTAATTTAAGGATGTTCCTCACTAAAAGAGCCACCTTAAACTTATTCCAAGGTAGCTATTATGTATCAGCTTCATCCTTTCAAAGGCATAACACTAGAGATTGTTTCCTAATTAATGCATTATGATTAGCATGATTACATGTACATACCTTCTTGCTAATCCAAAATCAATAATTTTTATTTTGTTAGCAACTCGATTCACACACAGGATATTTTCAGGCTGCCAGGAGAAAAAAAGAACATATTTGTAATAGAAATGACACAGACAAACTGGTTTTTTAGTTAACTGTAGTGGAATCAAAACTAAAAACACTGCAAAGCATAAAATAAGCACTTTCATCTTTGGGCAGGTTTCACTTTGTGGGTATTTCCTTCTGCAGTCATGTGGCATTTGAGGTTTTGGACACTGTGCCAGTATTGCTTTTTCTTCTCCATGGCGTCTCAGTTTGATATAATGCAGCAGTTCAGAGAAAGGACTCAGGACTCATTAGAGGGAGGGAGACGCGGCTTCCAAACAAGGCTTCAGGATTTTGGCGTTGTGATTTTGCAGCCCTTAATGAGCTGACATTGGAACTTTTTAAAAAATGATATTGTGGTGCTTTGAAGTTTATCTTAGTGCCCTAGATTTCTGAGTTCACTGCTGTTCTGGCAGCAATTGCCTGATGATACATTATACTAGTCAAATCAGCATTACACTTTTCTCAGATATTTAGAGGTGGGACTCATAGGTTAAATCCTTCTGCATTTTCATAATGCCAGATTCTTAAAATCATTATCATCAGTGGAATTACACTAGATTTGCACCAGATGAACTGTCAGCAGAATCTGGCCCATTGTCTTTGAAGTACAAATGTCTACAATACAGTCTTCTGTTCATTGCCAGCAGTTTTATAGCTACCATGGTCTTGTTGCTGATGGTGACCTCTTTGAAATAAAACAGCCTTAAACACTTAAGACATTAGTTATCCATTGTCACCATTACTAACTCACTTTGCATTTCAGATTTTTTAAAAACATATTTCTCAGAATGGAATTTGTGTCCCAGACACTGGCCCTGATAATTCTTGTTAAGTCTTCCATTTTAACACCTTCCAATCACAAAATAATCTCTGAGCAAGGAGAACTGGATAGAATCATAATTGACGGTCATTATGTGCCTGGACGAGTTTCTGTTGAGAACTCCGGGGATGTAAACATGCCTGCCTTTCTGCATTTTGACCTCAGCCCAAAACTATGCCCACTCCAAGAAATTAATCCCAAGTAAGAATGCAGATTTCTTAATTATAGGTTTCCAGGTTATTAATTATTTACAAAGAAAAAGGGACTTGCTCTGGCATTGTAACTGATGTACAGAAGTGTCTATGAGATCCAAACAGGTGTTCAGTCACCTATCTCTGCAATATTTTGCTTTTAAAAGAGTGAAGATACAGTATATTAACTTCCATTTATTTATGCAAATTACAAACCAAGAAAAACAAACTTCCAAACAGGTTGTTTCCTTCTCCTTTGTTGTGAAACTGGAAGATCATTAGGAAGTTTTATAGCTAGTCATAAAACAAAGGGCATTTATGCATCTCTCGCTTATTCCTGCTCTCAACAGAGATGAGGGATAAGTTTATCATTCAGCAAAAGCGTGACCTGGGAGAGGGATAAAGATCTGCTGCAAATGTCTGTTCTCTCTAGATGCACCTGTACAAGTACTGGTCATTTGTACTTGATAATTAACTCGTTAAAAATTAACTGGTCTCTGGGTTATATACTGGTAGATCAGAATTTGCAGCATCTGTTTTTTTTTTAAAAAATACACACACTAGTAGGAGTTTGTTTTAAATTGATCAAAGGCAACATATGTCCAATGCTCTTTAATTTAATTTAATTTTTTTTAATTGTCACTAAGCACACCTTCCTTTGATGCTGTTCAGGCCCATGGGTGGCAGTTAAGTCTAGACCAGGGGTTCCCAAACTTTTTGACACGGGGACCAGTAAATCCATTCACAAGCTTTTGGAGGACCGGTAACATTCATTTGCATATTTGCATATTCATTAAGCAAATGATGAATATTCAAATAAGTTGTTTCTGGTCCTCCCAAAGCCCCCAGTGCCAGCATTAGCAAAGCTTTTGATACAGTCACCCAAAATATTCTTGCCAGCAAGTTAAGGGAATATGGATTGGAGAAATGGACTCTAAGATGGATAGAAAGCTGGCTAGATCAGGGTTTTCCAAATTTTTTACTTTAGTTGGAACCTGTACTTTTCAGTACTGTTTTGCAGCCCAAAAATATAAATGCATATAAAAAAAATGAAAAATGAATAAATTCTCAGTGTTTCACCTGGCTGCATCCTCTGCCCAGCCTGGGCCAGGGCTTGGGGGACCCGGCACCTCATGGGTACTCCAGGAGGCGGAAGCAGGAGCAGGAGCAGATTGAGGGTAGGGTATCTGGCTAGGAGGGAGGGTGCAATGAAGGGTAGGGTTGCCAGGTGACCACAGTCCGGTATTTGAGGGTTTTGTCCGAGAAACAAATTGAGAAATTACCAGACATATAAAATGTCTACTATTTTCTAATTAGGTAAGTTTTATTATAATTAGGTGTATCAGACCTTAGCTGCGAACTGCCTGGCTGGTAGATGTGCTCACGCTGCCTGAGTGTGTCTACCTGTCAGGCAGTTCGCAGCTACTCGAGGGAGGGTATGTGGGCGGGGGGGCAAAATGGAATCCCTGGCCGGATTCACTCATCTGCCAGAGTCTGCATGTGCCCGGGTCAGTTCCGCTCCCTCCTCCCCTTCTCCTCCCGATCTCCCCAGTCCAGCCCTGCTTCCAGCAGCTGGTTCTCCCATCCTCCTGACCTCCCCCGGCCAGCTCCCCCACCCCCGGCCATCCCTGGTTCCGCCGCCTGCCCTCCCCGATCTCTGCCGGTAACTGGTGTATCTATGCAGGCAGAAAAAGTTTATCTTTATCACAGAGGCACTGTAAGGTTGAATTAATTAACATTTGCATGGTGCCTTGAGATCCATGGATGGAAAATTATACAGAAGTGTAAGTTAACTTGCTGTAAAATCATCCTCAGAAAGCTCAAGCAACAAGGCTTGATGAGATCTTCAGATTCTGGTTTCATTTTCAGTGGTAAACATCCAAGATGATTTAATGGAAGTAATGTGAATCTACCGTTGAATCAGTATAAATGTACTTTAACAACAATATGTCATTGAATCTACAAAATCTTAGGTGCCCCTCACCTAGGGCAATTAATTTCTATGGTAAAGGCCAAGTTGTTACTTCATAAAGCATGCATCTTGTTCTGTACCTTCAAATCTAAATGCAGAATGTACATCTGATGCATGTATTGAATCCCTTCACAGATCTGTTTTGTGAACAAGATGGTATCCATCTCTGTCAAATTATAATTTTCATCAATAATTCGGTCAAATAATTCTCCTCCATCCACACTGAAAAGACAAAAATGGTAGTATAGTAAATAAATCCATATTCATACCTTGAAATAAATGCAGAAGGTATATGGTGACTGGTCCAAAACACCATTTTCCTGAGACGCCTTCACAGCTGAGCACACTGAGAGGGACCTGAGATGTGAAGTTTGTAATCAGGTCTGAATTCCCCTACAATATCCAGCAGGGCTAGCTCCTAAAAATTGGGCTCAGGCCCAGAATTTTGCATTGGTACTTACTCATCTCAGCTAGTTGGATCTAAGCTGGTAGACTGGATCCAAACACCTTCACATTAAATTAATCATGGGGAAGTTCAGGTCAGAATGGATCTGAACCAAATTCTCTGCTGTATTAATATGGTTTTGTGCCAGGGAAATCAGTGAAGTGAAATCAGTGAAATTAGCATAAAGCTGAGGCAGTGAAGTTAAGAATCAGGCCCCTGGATCTAGATCCAAATGTCTCCAGACTTTGATGGTTTGGGATTCAAGGTCAAGTCTGAGCCCACCTCAACTCACAATGCAGATTTTTAAAGGTTCTTCCAGAATTTTAGAACACATTGTTTATATATTTATGAACTTTTCTGTCTCTGCCATTTCTGAATTATGCAGGCCAAATTCAGAAGCAAGTCAAAGGCTTAGTCTACACTACAAAGTTTTGCAAACATACGTATGTGGTTACAAGTGTGAAAAAAAAAATCAGCCCCTACCCACCTCCAGCTGACACAGCTATGTCAGAAAATCTCCCAGTACAGATGCAACTAGGCTGACAGAAGAATGCTTTTGTATCTTGCAGGCAGAAACTGGTGTATCTATGCAGGCAGAAAAAGTCTTTTTGCCAGTTTATTCTGTCTCTCTGCTGGCATAGCTATACCAGTAAAAGCTGAGTAGTCAAGGGTGGTAGATAATGGAAGTCAGGGAAAGCTAAGCCTCCCCAAACCTCTACTAATGCTCCACACCACAGTCCCAGTCCTGGGGGGCCTCTGGACAGGTCTGGGTGATGGCTGGGGTTTGGGGCATCTCTGGGAGTCAGCTGGGGTTTGGGGCTGCACTGGTAGGCTGGCCAGCCAGAGCTGGTGAGAGGTTAGGTGAGGATAAGGTGGGAGGCAGAAGAAGTGGAACAGAGCAGGACCTCAGACAGAAGAGGGTGGGGGTTATCCTCCCTGAATGGGGAGGAAAGGAGAGGGGATTTGTGTTCATGCACCGCTCATGAATGTAATATAGACAAGACCTAAGTCTAAGAAATTTCAGAAGAGTCCAAGTCAACATAACTTTATAACTTACACCAATTACCAACCTCCTCCAGGTGCCTGATACACCGGTTTTGGCTTCCTCTAGTCTAGTGTCTAGACAACCTCCACCAGATTCCACAGTGTTGTGCAGCTGCGCTGTACTTCACCACTCCTGTAATCTGGCCCTCAAGATAATTTAATCAGTCTCAGGAAGATCAGCAAAATATAAGGGTAATCCTGTGGCATGGAGCCAGCATGTATTTCTTGCCCTCTGGTAAGGCTGTGCATTCCTCTCACATAACTGGAGATTTACCAGGCCTGTTTTCATGGATGACAGACAATACCACCTAATGGAAATGACAGAGAACTACATACAAGGGCTCTCACATCTAAAGCCCTCTGTCTGTCTCTCCCCCCCCCCCCCTCCCCGTGGCATGTGAGGGATAGTATAATGAGTAGGGTGCCTTAAATCATCATGACAGTGTTGAGCTAAAGTCATGAATGACTACTAGGAAAGCTTTGTTTAAATAGGATTTCCTGTGACTCAAACTTTTTCATATGCTTTTTATCATCCCTGAGAAGCTCCATCACTACTTTCAGGAGACATGGAATGCGGCAACCTCAAGAAAAGGCGGAAGAGCCAAAAAGGGAAAGCAAGAGACATACGTACTATTCCATGACCAGAACAATGTCATTTTTAGATTCAAAGGCATCATACAGTTGGATAAGGTTCACATGGTTCAACTGGTTCATAACATTGATTTCATTCTTTGCTTCTTCCTGTGAAAATGGTAAGAAATGTTATACGTGTGGCTTTAATATCAGTTAGCTAACAAACTGGGATAGGATCCAGGCCTGAATGGGAGGAGAATAGCAAATACATCACTCCCACATGCTCACCTATGCCCACCAACCCCAACATTCTTTTTTAATGGTTGTTGTAGGGACAGACGATTTATGGAAGTTTACAGTCAGAAGTTCATTTGGTCCAACCTCCTATCTAGCACAGTGAGGTCAGACTGATGGGGAAAATGGAGAAAGGCAGGCATTAGTAATGAGACAGCCGCCACACAATAATGCTTGCTTGATTTCCTTCATTAATAAAAGTGGGGGAAGGGCCCTGAGATTTGCAAATAGGGTTACCAGGTGTCCGGTTTTCACCCCAACAGTTTGGTATTTTGGCTTTCTGTCCGGTAAAAAAAAAAAACCCAGAGAATACCGGACATCCTCAGACGGATGGCCGGCGGCATCTGCGAGGGCGGAGAGAGCAAGGACCGCAGTAATTTAAAGGTGCAGTGGCCTTTTTTTTCTGGAAAGATGGCTGGCTTTGTCTGCGAGGGCGGGGGGAGCGAGGAGCATGGTAATTTAAAGGTGCAGTGACCTCTTTTTTGGTGTTGTTTTGCTCAACCATTTTTTCTCTGCCTGTTCGGGATTTTTTGTGAAGGTATCTGGCAACCATATTTGCAGAATGGCCAGACAAATCCTTCTCCACTCTTGCACACTGGTGACTGGAGCCCAGAACAGTTTTGCTACTAAGTCCAATATGATTAAACCAAATAATTGCAGCAGCGCGTGCAGTGCACTCCAAAGCACACATGCTAAGTCAACAGTTGACAAACAGTTTTACTGTTTAATGTAAAGAAAAGAGTCGAAGGAGAAAAAAGGCAGAAGAAATGAAAAGACAGGAGAAAATTTTGGAAAAGTGAAAATTAAAAAAATTAAAAATGAAGAAACTGAAAAGAAGGTCTATGTGCTGGCTGCAGTCATGGAGGAGAAGGGTAAAGAACCTACAAATCAGCTATTACCAGCTGGTCATGTGGTACTGATGGCTTGAGAGTCATGCAGCCTATGCCTTACCTTTTCTTTAGCACCTCTGGCTTTTATAATTTTTGCTGCTAACTTGAGACCTGTTGCTTTTTCTTCACATTTGTGCACCTGACCAAATCGCCCTCTAGGGGAAAAAAGAAAGAAAAAATAATCCCTCAATATATGGTGTTGACAATGAGATAGGAATCCAGCCTGGAGTCTCGATTTTAGACACTTCAGATTATTCTCTGCCTTGCACATGCAAATCCTGATGAACATATCATGCTGCATTTGAGTCTTTGGATTGCTAGTCTATTAGATAGATAGATAGATAGATAGATAGATAGATAGATAGATAGATAGATAGATAGATAGATAGCATTATACTAAATTTTGATTGCTATTACTCTATCCATTATTTGATTCAATAATATTCACTGATTAATGAAAGCCAATTTATGACCTGCTTAGTTACATGAGTAATCCCAATAAAGACAATGGGACTATCTGTGGTGTGAATAAAAGTGTCACAAACTTGTCCTAACTACACTATAACCAATCAGTTGAAAGCATTTGTAGATTTTAATCCTTTCAAAAATTCTCTTAACAAAATGTGAAGCATGTCCGTTACATCATCCTCAGATACTTTCTCTTATTGGGAGGCAGCAAAGAGAAGCAGAATAACCTACTGTTCAAAGTTCTGCACCTGCTTTTCTAAAAGAATATAGTGAATAGCCACAAACAATGCACTATCATTATGACAGGCTGTAGTGATTTGAACCATGGCTGCAGGATATTAAAGCATTTTTAGTGTAATTACAAAACAACAATCAAGACAAAGTAGCCTACTAAGCTATCATTTGGATACTGTAATAGCTATAATTTTGTTTCCAATAATTTGATAAAAACAAATTATTTTGCAAAATTTCACAACTGTTTCCCTTCTCCTTCCACCTCCTTCCATGGAAACTGGAAAGAGGCTGGGGTATTGTAGTTCTTGGACTAAAGGAAATAACAGCAATTTTTACATCTTCTTGCCTACAAGGAGGACGTGGGGTCAAGAACCCTTCCTGGACAGTCACAGAGATGCCCAGACCCTGGTGTGCTGGTCTTCTATAGTGCTCTTGTACATGGTAGCCTGCCTGCCTGGAAATGCCTATGATAAAACTCTGTAGTGGAATGCACCATAATTCCCATCTGGCACTGGTACTGCTGCCTCAGAAAATTGTTTACATACCAAATATAAACCAAAACATGAAGCCACCAAAACCGCCGCAGAACCCCACAAAAATAACAGCCTGATGATTTTAGCCCATCTCCAGTTTACAATTAGACAGCACTTTTGACGTTAGTAAGGCATGCTGCTTCCATTCAACTGTAACATAACCTCCATTACAAGGCTATTTGCTGTATTTTTCTGGTGGCTCAACAGAGCTCATACTAATGTTGACAGTATCAGCTCCACTTACCCTCCTAGAACTTCATTTCTGTTGACATAATAAAAGCTGTTGATCACTGCCTTTTTTGCTGAGACAATCCGGTGATCAAATGGTGCTGAGAGAGCAGAGCCGTCCACTACAAAAGACAAAACAGAGAGCTGGCATGTTAGTACCAACACGCACCATTTATTACTTACATTAAACCTGGGTTCCTAACCAATAAAATAATCAAAGGATTTAATGAACAGGCTTGCAAGTTTTACTCACGGGAGCTTCTCTTTAGGACTTAGGGACAAATCTTGTTCCCCAAGCACAGCCTGAGTAAATGTGATGTTTGTAAGGGAGCTATCAAAGGAGTGAGAAGAACATGAGCCCACTGTTACCACTATTCTGTCCCTGATGCTGCAGTAGCTAGGTTTTGGCCAGTGGATCCTTGTAGATTTGGATCCAGTTGCTATTCTTATGCTCTACCCCAAATCGTTCTTTTTTGAGCCCACTGCATAGCCACTGTGGAGACATTCAGCTCACGAATTACATCTTATTGCAGCAGTTCTGATGTATCTGGAACCTTAATTGATGCCCTTTCTTACCTAAGAGAATTTCCCCCTTAGCGAGACATTGCTCATTCTGCTAATGTACCAAATTCTGCACCAACAATACTTGTGCCACCCCACAAAAGATGCTGCCCACACAGGAGGCATCAAGAATTCCTGTGTTAGCACACTGGGAACACAAGTCAGGTGAGGGCAGATAGCTGGCCAGCATTGCTTCATACCCACAGTGGGGCATAAGCAAGTAGATTGGGGGCATCACTGTGTTTTCTTGCAAACACTTACTAGTGCCCAGAGGTTACCAATAGGGGAGTACCTGCTGCAACTTTTTAAAGGGGTAGGAAAAATCATTGTTTAATGTGCTCTCTTCTAGTCCCACCTAGGCAATTTGCCTACCTCTGTTCTATAATGCAGAATGCCTCTAGCCTCTAACTTTTCAGTGGTATAACTTTTCATTCTCCTATGCAGGTTATTGTTCTTAAAGCCCAGATTTGGGGACTTATCTAATTAGGGACATTGGAGATGCACAGCTACCCAGTAGCACCTAGAAGTTCCAATAGTATAGTGCTAGGCACTGTACATACACATCACACATTCCTGCCCTGAAGAGCTTACAGTCTAAATAGAGAAGACAGACAGAAAGCTGAAAGGCAACAGAGAGGTACAAAGGTGAAATCACTTGCAGTAGGTCACATGGCAGGTCAGCAGCAGAGGTAGGAATAAATCCAGGTCACATGAGTTGCACTCCAGTGCTCTTTCCAATGGAGCATGCAGCCTGACAGGTGCAAAAATCCCTGTTATAGACAAGCCTTTATCCGCTAACAGTGTGTTTAGATCTCGGTGGGGGTAAAAAGGCTTTTGTTTTATACCCACATTGTTGTCAATTGATTTATATTCCTCGGAATGACCTTTGGCTGATGAAGGTAACAAACATTACTACCCAGGGGAAGAAGGGCTAAAATGGTAATGTTTCTGTATGATCTCTTTAGTTTGGAATGCTGGCTGTCTTGTGTGTGGAACTTTTTGAGCAATTTTAAAACCATTTATTACTTCCGTGAAAATGATAAAAAAGAAATCCCATGATAAT